TAGGGATTCTGCTTTGTTTTGTGACACAGGGTCCCATACAGACCAGGCTGGGTTCAAGCTTACTGTGGAATCCAGGACAATCTTGAACTTCCCGTCCTTCTACTGCTACCTTTGGTGTGCCAGGATTATTGCACAGATGCAACATTGTACCTGGTGTGTGTGTGTGTGTGTGTGTGTGTTTGAGAGAGGGTCTCTCTTCATAGCCCTAGCTGTTCTGCAACTAGCTCTGTAGACCAGGCTGGCCTTGAACTCTCAGAGAGAGATCCACTTGTCTCTGCCTCCAGAGTGCTGTGCCACCATGCCAGGTCCACACCTGGTTTTATGTGGTATTGGCCAGGCAAACACTCAACCAGCCAAGCTACCTCCCCAACCCCTTGTTTTGTTTTGGTGTTGGACTTAAGGCCAAAGCCTCACTCACAAAGCTGAGCTGTGTGATTATTTTGCCTTCCTGGTGCGGATGCTGCTGCAGGGTGGGGCTGTGAGTGCTTTCGGGCATGGCTGATCTCAACAGCCCTCTCAGCTTGTGTCCAGTATCCAGAGCTGCATCTACCTGTGTTTCTCTCTTCTCTCGTAGACGGAGTCCATAGCTGGTGAGGCCTCTGAGCAGGGCAAGGCCGGGCCCTGCCCGAAAGGACACCAGAGTCCTTCACCGGCCCCTGTGCCTCAGAGCCCACCGGGCTCTCCTGCTGGCCCCGCCATGACATCAGAGCCTACATCACCTCCAGTGGTGCCACCTCTCCACTCCCCCAAGTCCCCTGTCTGGCCCACTTTCCCTTTCCACAGGGAGGGCAGTAGGATCTGGGAACGTGGTGGTGGTATCGCTCCTCGGGACCTGCCCAGCCCTCTGCCTACAAAGCGGACCAGGACATACTCAGCGTGAGTCCATTGCCCTCCCCTAGGTCCCACGAACTTTCTTTAGGCGGGGCCAAGGCTGCCTGTCCTCCCAGGAAGCTGTGCAACCTTCCAGTGACCTCTGTGTCACCTCCTACATTCCTTCATCCCAGTTATGGTGACTGGAGTGTAAGGGGTGAATGAGCCATGTCTGCAATTTGGAGAGGTTCTGAAGACTGGGTAAGGACTTAGCCTGGGGTGCAGGAAATTAGGACATCCTAGATGAGTCTGAAGATGCGTCAGATGAAGAAGGAAGGGACTTGAGAAACATAGCCTAGAAATGCATAGTGAGACCAGCTCAAAAATAAAATAAGACAAAAGAGCTTGAGAGTTAGAGGTGGAACACCGTAGAGCAAATCTTTAGGGGAGGGTCGTGGACTGTCAGGGATTAGCTTTGGGCCTCTGGGGAGGTGTTGGGTGAGGCCAGATGGAGAGGGTCTGTGGGAACCAAGGAGTTTTCCACTTATTATTATTGGTGGTGGTGGTATGTGTGTGTGTGTGATTGGATGTGTACGTGTGCACCTACCACAGCCTGTGCTTTGGTTGCTTGTGTGTGGTGTGTGTGTGTGTTTACCTACTACAGCCTGTGTACATGTATAGTTGATTGTGTGTGGTTGTGTATGCACGTGTGTGTGTGTAGGTGTGTGTGTTCACCACAGCCTGTGTGTGGAGGTCAGAGGACAACTGTCAGGAGTGGGTTCTCTACTTCCACCATGCGGGTTCTGGGGTTCAAGCTCAGGTGGTCAATCTTGACAACGGCATTTTATCCACCAAGCCATCTCCTCATGTCTGTTTTGGTTTTTTGAGATAGGGCTTTGGTTGGTTGTCTTACTCCAGATTTCTGAATGCACTTCTGTGCCTGGCTGCGAGGCGTTTATTATCACTACTCTGGATAGCAAGCGTGCATTGTCCTGTGTCTGACCCAGGGACAGAGTAGATGCTCAATCTATAGCACATGAAAATTAGTGGCCAGCAGTGGCTCAGCTGCCATGAGAGATGGCGAGATGCCTCTTAGCTTTAGTTCTTTTTTGTTGTTGTTGTTGTTGTTGTTAATTTAATTATTGGTTCTGAAGATGGAGCGTGAGCCTTACACACGGCAGGCAAACCATCTACCACTTAGCTCCACTCCTATATCTCCCAATCTCCATTTAAGCCTAAATATTGGGATGGAAGGTGCTTTTTATTTTTTTATTTTTTTAAATTTATTTATTATGTAGATAGTGTTCTGGGCACCAGATCTCATTATAGATGGGTGTGAGTCATCATGTGGTTGCTGGGAATTGAACTCAGGACCTCTGGAACAGCAGTCAGTTCTCTTAACCTCTGAGCCATCTCTCCAGTCCTGGAAGGTGCTTTTTAGAGGGGCACTGACAAGGAGCCAGGAGTGTTGTACCACACCGCGGCACACCGGGCAGGCCATTGCCCCACTCTGGGCCCCACTCTTTGTTATCTGCTGAATGGCAGTATTATTGGGGATCCAAGAACAGGCTCTCCAGTTCAAGCTCCAATCCCTTACCCTCTCCCCAGGACAGCTCGAGCCTCGGCCGGCCCCGTGTTCAAGGGTGTCTGTAAGCAGTTCTCCCGCTCACAAGGCCATGGCTTCATCACCCCTGAGAATGGCTCCGAGGACATCTTCGTGCATGTTTCTGAGTGAGTCCCCTCTATTTCTGTTTCTGATTGGGCCTTGTCTAAGTGTTCAGTGTCACCTGACTCTCCCCTAGCTGCTGAGGTGGGTGATCCTGTTGGCTATCGCTGCTCTGAGGAGTCCTGGGATGGGGTGGGCTGGGGTTATTTAGGGATCAATAGGCAGTCCCCAGAAGCATGGTAACCACTGCTGAGACCCAGGGGTCCTATGCTAAAATCACGGGAGTCCTGAGAGGAGACCGGCTTCTCTGACCCCAGGGGAGGGAGGGACTTTCCAGATTGCCCTTTCATAGCCCAGAACACTCGGGCTCTGAGAAGTTGGCGGAGGGTGCCTGGTCTAGCAAGGCTAGGGGCAAGGCTAGGGGCCACAGTGCTCTCTGCGGATGGGTTTGCTCTTGTGCTGATCCTTCCCCTTCTGTCCACCAGCATCGAGGGGGAGTATGTCCCCGTGGAAGGCGATGAGGTGACCTACAAGATGTGCCCCATCCCACCCAAGAACCAGAAGTTTCAGGCTGTAGAGGTGGTGCTCACCCAGTTGGCCCCCCACACGCCCCACGAGACATGGTCTGGCCAGGTTGTGGGATCCTAGGCAGGTGGGGGGGCATGCCCACGAGGAGGCAGGCAGCAGCCCGCTCTGTGCTCCCACTGTGCTGCTGACCAGCCCTTGGGTGTGCTCATTTGTCCGTCTGTCTGTGCTTTGTGGCCGTGAATGTGTGCTTCTGCCCACCTGTGACCCATGACTTGTGTGATCGGGCCTAGGGTTGCATGGAGTGCAGCCACCAGCCCTGCCTTGGCCCGTCTCTCCTTCCTCCAACCCTGCCACGGAAACACACGACCTTCTCACCCTCTTGCTCACTTCCCTATATACTGTGGGCCTGTGTCATGTTCTTGAGAACCCAGGGAGACCCCTCTCCCATGAGCCTGTTCCTCACTGCTGTCCTCAGACCCACTCAGTCCAGTTCCTAGCCCTGTCCGCCTGTGTTCCTGTCTCCTGTGCTGGACCTGGGTGTCTGCTTTGGCTTGGACCCTTCCTCTCAGAAGCCAGGCCTCTGAGTACTTTGTAGGGGCCTCCCACTTTAGGAAGGAAGCAGACAAAACATGGTTCATGGCCAGCCCGTGCCATAATTTAGCTCATCTTCCTGATCCCATCCTTTCGGTGCCCTGGAGGGAACAAGGCATAGCCAGTCCTCTCTCCTCAGCCGGCAGAGGCTATTTTGAACCCCACAAAGCTAGGTTCCTTCCCAAGCTGGGAGAGCCAAGCTTATTCTGTCTCCAAGGTGAGGTGGGGACACGGTTTCCTCCAGTTTGGACAGAACCATCTCTTCTGCCGTGATGTACAAACTCTGGATGCCCTGCCCAGTGCTGGCCATGACAGCGGCTGAGGATGCAGCGATGGACTGACATATGCCACCTCAGGCAAGGCCAGGTCCAGGCACCCAAAGGAATGGTCCTCAGTCAGGGAGACCACTGGCCTTGCCCACCCTCCACCCCTCAAATTAGACCCTCTTCCCAAAGTTATACAATGGTTCCTATAGATCCCTGACAGGTCGGTAGCTAAAGTGGCTCTTATCTCGTGCATCCCTCAAGTGTGACTGTCCCTCTTAGCTGGAGTCCGTCTGGGCTGAGATGTATCCCTTCTAGAGAGCCCATCACCTAACAGGAGATAAGTGGGGTCACAGGTTCAGGAAGGACCTGCCTCAACAGTGACCCTTATGAGACCTAGTCTGCAAGGAAAACGTGGGCCCAGATGCCCAGGATGAAAGGGGTCAGTGATTATCTAGGTGGCCTTTTAGGTGACCACAGGGTAGAGTCATTTGGGATGTTTGTACCCCACCTTGTCCTAGAACCCTTTGCACAGAGGCTGGCAGTCTTGAACTGTTAAGTGTTGGCTAGTCCCTCTTACTGGAAAAGACCTACCTATCTGACATCCCACTGTGAACTAGGCTTTTCCAGCAAGGTCTGTCCCTGAAGCACTGTCCTCTGCAACCATGAAGAGAGGACCCGAGTTCAAATCCCCAACATGCCTGTCACCCACCACTGAGTGACAGGTCAAGCAGATCCTTGACAGGGAACATGTTGGTACAGGGCCACCCAGGCCCCCCTCCTCCGAGCGGGCCCTCTTCAGGCACCAGTTCGAGGCTGCCTGAGTGGCAGGGGGCATCAAGCCTCCTCTCTACTCTCGGGTCCTGCGATGCCAAGTCAGAAACCTCCCCATCCAGACCCCAGCCACGGACTACCTATCCCTCCTAACACTGGCAATAAACTCAAATGTGACCCACTCTGCTCCTGAGCTGCCTGTCTGTGAGGGTCCTTGGGGGAAGGGGCTGAGGAAGTACACAGCATGTTGGCCATGTCTGGGGCTTCAGTGGATCAAAGACCTCCTGGGACAAGCTCCTGTCTTTTCTCATCGGCAAAGTGTGACCCTACGCGCATGTGACAGGAACCATCATATCTTCAGACACATCTAACACACTTTGTCTTGGGAACTTTAATATCTGCAACAGTCTTTTTAGTAGTGCCCTCTTCCTGCCTCTCTGCCCTGTCAGTCTGTGGCCAGCAGGCTCCACAGCAGAACCCACATGCCTCCTTTGGAGTGAAACCTAGTCTGTCCCGACGACCAGCAGCATCAGAAACCAGGGCCATCAGTGGAGTGCAGGAATAAGCCTTATCAGGAGGCATCTGGCTGGGGACAGTTGCCACACAGATCCTGGTCCTGTGTGGGTGGACCCTATGCCCATGTGATGCTGCATGCTGGTCCAGAGTGGGAACCTTGGCACCCCATGGTTCTCTCTTCAGGCCCGGACAGAGTTCTTTGAAGGTCCCAATGCTCAGCTGTGCTCACTGTCAGGCCTCGTGGGCTGTCTCTGGGAAGAAAAGTTCTCGGCATCGCTGTACAGTATCCTGAGGGGAGACCACACTATGGCCAACAGTCCGGGGGTCTGCATAGATCTCAAAGTCATTGCCACCCTGCATTCAGAAGGAGAACACAGAAGACATGATCTTAGGTGATGCCTACAGGGGAGGAGGTGCCCAGGACTGAGACCCAAGAGACACCCTTCCCATCCTCCTGCAGACCTGCCTCTCCTTGGACCTGCCAGGAATCCCACCATCCTGGCTTTCAGACCTACCCCAACCTGCTGTGTACCATGGAACAAGTGTTCAGCCCTCTTTGGCCCCTGGTCTTCTGAACTGCAGAGTGGGGGCACCGATTACCTCCTGGGAGGCCGAGAGGTCTCTGTTCTATTGCCTGTGTCCTAGCCTTGACCTCAGGCACTCTGGGTTGCGGGGACCAGGGCAGGGCCACACTCACAGGACTGGTCTCATTCCCAAAGAAGTGGATGATGTCGAAGCTGTCTTCGTCCAGGCTGTCGAGGCAGTAGCGCTTATCCCAGCCCTCGGGGAAGACGTCGAAGCTTATCATACCTCCTGTGGACGATGTGGGGGTCACAACAAAGCCCCAAGAGGGACAGACACGGCTGGCAGCTTGTCAGGGAAGCTCACAAGGCTAACTTGGGCAAAACATGCTTTGGTTTTGAGACAGACTGTGTACCCAGTTTGGCTTTGTCCTATGCAGCCAAGGAAGGCCTTGAATTCCCCATCTTCCCGCTTCTACCTAAGAGCTGGGATTAGACACACATGGCAAAGTGCCTGGCTCTAAGGCGCTTTGTTCATTCAACAACCCTGAGAGCCACAGGGCAGACTTGGGATCTGTGGGGTCTCATCTAGGCCGGCAGCAACAGGAGCAAAGGTGGGTTCACCCAGTCAGCATGACCTGGGAGAGCCAAGGTCACAGTCAGCTGGGACATAAACCACAGTGGGAATAACCAGGGGCTCCCGGCAGCAGGGTGGCACAAGGGTAGGTTCTAAGTGACCATGGCATCTGTTCTTCCCTCTGGCTACGGGGGAACAAGCCGAGATGGCAGCCGGGATAGCAGACGCCCCAGGAGTCTCGGGGAGCAGCTAGTGGCAGAGGTTGAGTCACCAGCTTGGGAAAGATCTGTGGAGCCCTCGACTACTACTAGCCAGTTGGACTGGGCACAGGAAGGGTGAGGACCAACATCAGGCGTTCATTGAATAAGGCAGGCAAAACTGGTACAGGTAAATAGCCTCCCCTGCCGAGCCCACCGCAGGAAAGACGTACCTCGGGAGAACCTCAGCCCCTTGCCAGCAAACTCTGTCTTCAGGGCTTCCACAAACTTCTCTCGGATCTTCTCCTTCTGTACAGGGAAGGGTATGAATTGGCTCAGAGGGCCCTCTGTACGCCACGCCTGGAACCCCCACCAGCTCCCCGACTGTCTGGGTGAGTGTGGCCCCCAATTCACAAATGGGACAACAGGTCCCCTCGCCTTGGTGTCAGTGCTGGGGCCTAGATTCAGAAATCCGTGACCCCCGCCAATGGGGGTATGGAGGCACGAGAAGAAAGGCGGAGGGTTATGCGAGCAGAGTGTTGAGTCAGGTCGGATCCACCCTGAAATCTGTAGGCTGAGTTCTAGGCCTGGTGGCTATGCTGCTTAGCTGTGTGGCCCTAGGCAAGTTACCTGACCTCTCTGGGCCCATTCCCAGAACTAAATGATAGAGAAGAAATTAGGGACTACTGTCTGCATCTCCTTCAAGGAAAATCAGAACTGAGAGATGTGAGCCCCCTCTTGGCCTTAATTTTGCCTTCTTAGCAGGTACAGCCCAGAGATAGGACTGTGAGTGCCCATACTCTGAGGAAATGTAGCTCAGAGCCCAGGGCTGGGGGCTGCACTTCCCTCCTAGCCGATCAGCTAATGATTGGACAACGTCGTGTGCCAAGTCCAGCCCTAACATGTCCAGTGCCATGACCCTAAGCTGCTCAAAGCAGGGTCCTTATCTAAGGACAGCGTCCTGCCACCCCTCCCTGGAGTCTACCGGAGAGTTAGGAAAGCACGCGCCATCTGGATTGCATACAAGCACACCGTTCTCAGGAACAGCCACACGTCCAGCCTCGGCAGAGGCGAGAAAGAACAGAGATGAGGAAAGGGGCTGGGGATGCCAGTCAACCCCCAGCCTTCCCTGCCGCTCCAGGCCAGGCCCATTAGCTGTCCTCCATCCCCATCCCGTCAGTAAAGCTGCCTTTCCAACCTGGGCAAACAGGAGGTAGAGCTGGGACTGGAAACCCAAGGAACATGGGAAGGAGCTGCCTGGCTAGGAGGTTGTCAATGATCAACCTTCAACCTTCCCTGTCCCTTAGCCCCATGTCCACTGCCTACCGGAGGCCTCTGTGCATTGTGGGAGTTGTACTTAAGACCCACCCACTCTCAGGGAAACACCAGGGACCAGTCGGCCACATCAAAGACAAACTCTGCAACCAACTCGCTAAGTGACCTGCGATGACAGTCACTTCTCTGAGCCTTGGTTTCCACATCAATATGATGGGAATACACCTGTTTATTCATTCAAAGGCATCCATGGCAGGCAGGCACAGTGGGGCACACCTATAATACCAGCCAACAGGAAGCCGCCAGTTGGATGTCAGCACCGTGACATGGTGAGTCTGAGGCCAGTCTGGGACGCACACTAAGAAGACACTGCTTCAAAAAGTAAATGTTTCGAGCGGGGCAGTGGTGGCGCACGCCCTTAATCCCAGCACTCAGGAGGCAGAGGCAGGCGGATCTATGTGAGTTCGAGGCCAGCCTGGTCTACAAGAGCTAGTTCCAGGATGGGCTGCAAAGCTACAGAGCAACCCTGTCTTGAAAAAACAAAAAAAGAAAAAAAGAAAAAGAAAAGAGAATGTTTCTTGGGGCGGGGTTGTTGTGGTCAGTGACAGGGCACCGCCTAGCATGCACGAGGCCCTGCGATCCATCCCCAGGACCACCGACCTCTGCACAGGACATGGAAGGGCTATGGGGCTGAATGTGATCGGGGCAGCAAGGGTGGAGTAGAGGAGAGCCTGGTCTGGGTGGTGCGCTCCCGGCAGAAGGCCCAGGGTGAAGGAAGAAACTGCTGTCTCTAGAATGAGCAGAAGCCAAGGCTGCAATGCAGGGCAAGGGAAGAGCAGCTGGCTGAGTCGGGGTGAGAACATGGATGAGAGCAGGGGCAGATGAACTCACACCACCCCTGACGTGTCTGCAGAAATGACCACCCCCCAAAAGGGGTGATGAACAGAGAGGTGAGCAACATGCCTGGTGTTTAGAGAGGCGGTTGGCGTATAAGCTGAATAAGGGGGCGTGTACTTGTAACCCCAGCATTTGAGAAACCAAGGGAGATCATAAGTTCAAAGCCAACCTGAGTGAATACCAACAAAAAGAAACAAAATCTGGCTTTTGAGGGGATTTGGTGTGTTCTGGATGCGAGTGAGAACATGGCAGCTGCAGACAGAAGGATGGAAGGTCGAGGCGGAGAGGGGCAGACAGATGCCTCGGGCTGTGAGGGGGGCCTGAGACGCTGCCCAGCCAGCCCTGGGGAGCCACAGAAGGCTTGTTACTGGGGAGATACAGACAGATGTGTTCTAAAGGTTCTCACAAGCGGGCTGGAAGCAGAGGGGACGGAGGACAAGGGAAGGGACTCGGGTAACTGAGGACAAGCAGGCGGGAGCCTAGAGATGCTGGTTCTGGTGTGGGTGAGAACGCGGCAGTGGTACTGAGGTGATAGCATAGGTCACTGGGGGCTAGTGACCGCAGGTTATCAGGAAAGAAGACCAGCGATGACAAAAAGAGGCTGGTGTGCCTACAGAAATGACACACGGGTGCCCTAGTGTGAACCCGAAACTCCTCCTCAAAACCCATTTTACTGACGAGAAAGCAGAGCTCAGAGTGCTGAGTGACGGGGCCTATAGCTCATATGGGCCCATAGCTGCCCAGCAAATGGCACCTTGTCCAGTTCAGAGAATTCGATCCTCTCCTCCAGGGTGCAGCTGCGGCCGATGGGTGAGATGTTCAGCATGCCATTCCGGAACTCTATGAAGGTTCCACTGGGGGCAATGAAGAAAAGGGGTGAGAAAGTCAGAAGCCATGGGGGAGGAGGGGAGAACAGCTTTGAATTCAAATCCTGTCCTGTCTAGGACCACAGTCTCCTTGGACTTCACAGGGTAAAAGAATCTACCCATGCATAAGTTAGGGTCCTGAACCTGTGGGTATATAGCTCATTGGTAGAACACTTGCCTAGCATGGACAAGGTCCCCAGGTTCTAACCCTAGCTGCAGAAAAAAAATATCAAGGGGACCTTGATATCCATGTGGGGGACTCCCACTCTCTTCCCCCAAGCCCAGCTCAGCGGGGGACCTCACCGCTTCTTGGGTAGTCTGAGCAGAGCCATGTAGCTGAGACAGAAGTTGATCAAGTCCTGCAGGAGCTCCTCCCCCAGGTGGTTCTGGATCGTCTGTGGAAGGAACACAAGGCTCGCACTGTGGCACACACAGGACAGAGGGAATCAGCTTGGAAAAGTGGGGTGCCCCAGCTAAGGCCTGGGGACACTGACCTGCTTGGAGAGGAGCCGTCCATGCTTGTACTGCACTGTCCCGTTCTCGGCAAACACATAATCAAACTTCTCAATGACTTGGGACCCACGGAGAAGCCGGAGAGAAAGAAAGAGCATGAGACAAGGACCCACTGTCCTTGGGGATGAAGCAAGCCCTGGGGACAAAGCCCGTGCTGTTTGGCTTGGCGGTCTGCACCCACTTTTCCATCCTAAACCGGCTTTTCCGGCACTTCCTCAACCTCTGCTTTCTTCTACACCAGCAGTCACTCCTCTAGCTTGGGTAGGACCTTCTGCTGGGGCAGCCCCTCTTGTGTCATCCTCCAAGATCCAGCTCCCTCTTCTAGAAGCCTTCCCAGGAATGGCCAAGAGAGGGCGCTATTTCCATTCTGCCTTCCCATAGCTCTCAGGCCTCCCCCAAGGAGACTCTATTCTCCTTTCTCTGTCTCCCTGAAGAGCAGTTTGCAGCTCTGAGGAGTTTGCTGCTCTGAGGAGCAGCTGGGAGTCAGGGAGGCCCAGAGGGCGTGGCTTGGATGCCCTGCAGCATCTGGGAGGTAGATGATCACTGGGGTACAGGATGTGGTGGGAAGGAGGCCTGGACAGATGGTATAGAGTCTGGACTAGCCAGAGAATAAATGAGGAGATAAGGAAAAGGGAAAAAGGGGAAAAGATCTTTTTTATTCCAAAAAGATAAGGAAGCTTCTGGCTTGAGCGGGCACTTCCTGACAATGAGACAAAACTAAGTATTTCCAAGTTACTTCAGTTTCCGCTATTAAAAACAAGATAATCGGTTGGGCGTGGTGGCACTCGCCTTTGATCCCAGCATTCCGGGCAGAGACAGGCGGATCTCTGTGAGTTCCAGGCCAGCAAGGTCTACAGAGTGAGTTCCAGGACAGCCAAGGCCTCACAGATAAACCTTGTCTCGAAAACAAAAAAGATTAAGAAGTAATAAATAAACAAACAGAAACCAAGACTCAGCGGTGAGAACACGCACGGCCTAAGGGCAGGATGCTGCCTGCTCTGCTTCTAGCTTTTGTTCCAGAAGTTAGCACAGTGGCGACTACCAGGTACTCACTAAATGTCTGTTCAGTGTGGCAGCCTCGGGCTTCTCCTTCTCCATCTCTTCTGCCCCACAGAAGCAGGAGAGGCGCCCACACATCTCCCAGCTCCACACTCCTACCTACCGTACCCCAACACCCACTGGAAGAGATGCTGCCCGGGCCTACCTTCATCCCCATCGCCCAGCTGCTCAGCGATCTTTGAGTAGTCAGAGCCGCCTACCACACCAATCTGCACCCTGCTGCGAAGCTTCTGCAGGAAGGCTGATACCTCAGGGTCAATTTTCTGTGGGGGACGGGAAAGACAAAAAGACTCCAGTTATCGAAAAGTCTGGGACTTCAAGCTGGGCAGAGGTGATAATCCCAGCACTCAGGAGACAGAGGTATGCCAGTCTCTGTGAGTTAGAGGCCAGCCTGGTCTACAGAGCAAGTTCCAGGACAGGTTCTAAGGCTGCATGGAGAAACCCTGTCTCCAAAAATCAAAACAAAAACCACATATAAGGTCCAAGGAGTGGGTTTGGTGAGTGGAGGAACCTATCTTGAGGTCTAACAACCTGAGTTCAGTCCCAGGAAGGCCCATGATAAGAGAGAGGTCCTCTGACCTCTCAATGAGGTGCATGTGTGTCCTGAGACCCACATGCATATAAAATATACAAATGAAACGTAAAACAAACAAAATAAACTGTCTTCAGAGTAGAACACGGTAAAGCCAGATGCGATGGCGCATGCTTGTAATTCCAACACGGAAGAGCAGTTCAAAGGCACTGCGAGCTCTGTCTTTGAGAGTGAAGCTCTGTCTAAAAGAATAATTTTTTGAGAGCATTACGAGTTGTCTTTAGGCTATCTATCAGTTATATATAAAATACAAATGATACAAATGAATTTTGTGTTTACATGTGTTTGTGTTACATGTGGGTCCCATTGCTGTCATAACTCATTATGTATATGCTCAGAATCTGAAAAGTATCTAAAACCTCAAACATTTCTGGCTGCAAACGCTTCAAATCAAAGACTTTTCACTTGCACAAGGCAGAGACCTCAGAAGCTCCACCTGCTAAGCACGGCTCAGGTGACCGAGCAAAGCGCCTTTGCCTTTCTTTGCCCGGTTTCCCCTTTTATAACGGTAGGAGCCACTCAAAGGAGATCACAGCTACCCCGGGATGAGGGATTGTGTTCAAAGTGTATACAGATTCTCCACTAAGGAAAACTGAACAGGTGAGTCAGAACTCAAACTTCCATATATTCAGATATCCAAGATCAGAGCTAGAGACCATGGTAGGAAGGGAACAGGAACTCCCAAGTGCTATCCATGAAGGTATATTTTGGTGCAATTGTTTTGGAAGGCAGTTTGGCAAGAGCCACTGACACTTAAAAATGTCCATACCCCAAACAACGTTTCAACTTTTCTTGCCTAAGGCATATATATACAGCAGTTCCTTGGGATATGGTTTCGAACAGTGAAAACTGCAAGCAACTCCCAAGCTTATCTGCCAGACAATGACACATGCTTCCTCAGAACTACCAGGCAAGGGTACCGATAAGGCCAGATCTCTGCTTCCAACAAAGCTAAAACGTGCTGTTAACTGTCTGAAGCTAGTTGTAGGCAGCCACAGGCAGGATAATGCCGAGTCAGTAACCGCCATGCAACACAATTTATATTTCCTATGGGCAGAGAGATCCAGATAAAAGCACCAAAGTCATACTACATAGACAATACTACCTTGGGGAGAGGGCTGCCCCTGGGATACTGGTGAGGTCAAAGTGGCCTTTAGCCTTTAATGCTTGCATTCTTTACAAAAAGAATGCATTTGTGAATACACATATAATTAAAAATTAACGGCCTAGCAGTAAACAAATTGGTAGGCAGTTATTGTCCAGGCCTTGCCAAGTCAGTGCAGCATAGGGTCAGGAGAGGCATGCCTAGGCGGGACCACCTCTCTCCCATCCTGGCATCTTCAATTCTCATCCACCCCTGCTGGAAAGAAACATGGCTGATCCCTTCTAGGGAAGGGCTATCGGGAGGCTAAGACTTGGATTCCCACCAGCTTCTGCTGTGGAAGAATTCTCAGGTCATCCCCGTTGTCCCCACAGGGGATAGTGGACCACTGGAAGGATGGACAGGAACGACCATGGATGAGACAGGAAGGAAAACTGAGTATGAGCAAAGATCGGAGGGTGAACCATAAAGTGTGATAGAAAGAAAACATCCTCCCACTACACTGACTCAGTGACCCTCTTGCAATCAGACTAGCCCTGGGGCCTCTCACTACACATGGGTGGAGCCAAAACGATACCACCAACAAAAAACAAAACTCTCAGAAAAGCTGCTCTCTCCCTCCGACCTGAGGTGGAAGGTAAAACCCCTAAGAGGCTTAAGAAACTAAACCCAGGCTTAGGCCTGGGGACGCCAGGGTGGAATGGCTTGAAGACCTTTCTTGCCCTCACTAGAGGGCGACTGAGGGCTTGGGAGCGCGCCGAGCTCTGCCTGAACACCGCGATCACAAGCTTGAGGACTGGTTAGTTGTGCATCCTAGGGCTGAAATAGGGTGGGAG